TTCATGTCTGGAATAAGAATAAGCAGAATAGTATAAATCAAGTGCTTAAATGGTGGTCTGAAAAGTACTTGTACCTCTTCAGAGCACAGCCTAGACACCTGTAGAAATAGCAACAAAAAGACTGAGGAGCAAACAACGCTGTCTACTAAGGGCTATTGTAGTCATAAAAAAGGCAGGGAGAAAAGCTGGTGGGAAAAGAGCCAAGAGTTGCCAGCACAGCTAAAGCCAAGATTTTTCTCAACAGGTGCTTCAGGGGAGAGAAGCTGGGAAGTAAGGCAAAGAAGAGCAGGGAACAAACACTAGATAGAAGAAACAAGGAAACAGAAAAAAATGGCATTTGGGAAAAAGCACAGAGAAGAGAAGCCATACCAAGTTCCATGTTGACATGTTATTGGTGTGATGGGAGACTGAATGAGAGCAAATTTTGCTTAGTTTGGGAACAGTGAGACAATCTTTTACACTAAACAGTCCATTTTACAATACGTTCTGAGAAACCCTGCTCTCTTCTTAATTAACTTTTCTTTTTTATTAGATTTTGAACCTTTCACCTTGGGGTCATTAGTTCAAATGCAGCCTATTAGGTACTTAACCAAAATCCATAACTATTGGACAAAGATTTGAAAGCCTCTTTAAAATGAGTTGGTGAACTCAGCTTCCATCTTAGCAGACAAGTGTACCCAACAACAACAAAAAACCAGTTGATGTATCACTAATACATATTTACTGATATCAATACAGAAATTAAAACTTAGATAGGCATAAAGAATATTTCTATTTATTACAGCTATTTCATAGTTTACAGAAACAACAGTTTTAACACAAAACACTACCCCTCCGCTCCCAATTCCTCAAAATAAAAAAGCAAAAAACCCCACCATCCTTCACGTGCAACCCTACTTATATTTTGCATGTTTGATTATATTTATGTCCTGTAACTGTAATTTTATGTATCCTTCATTTGCATTAGTATGTAAGATGGGAGTTAGTGACATCTGTTTTCACTGTTTGTAGGTTTGGGCTATACTGCTTGGAATTAATTTGTAAATGGCAGGTGAATCAGATTTTGTGTCCACATGCCCTCCCTTCCAAGCGTGCATTAACAAATATTATTAATTCGACGTTATACAAAGATCACTGAACGATCACCCCTCACTGTGAGCTGTACAGAGGTCCTCAGTTTTAATACAAAGTTGGAATATGCATGAGGGACTGGAGAGATTCTAGGCAGGAGTCTGCTCCTGGATGACCTTGTGACTCTTCAACTTCTGCATCTAAGCAGAATTCCCAACAATGGGTTAAGGGAAAACCTTACACTCGCTATTGCTAAAAGAGCTGAAATCCCTTGAGCAGGGGGTGCATACACAACCTAAAAAGGACTACCAGTAGAGAACATGTGATGGTGGAGCAGCAGTGCCCCCTGAAAGCAGCAGCCAGAGCAGCAGTCCCCAACATCACACCCTAGTGGTGCTCCCAGCATGAGAGAGCATTGAGCTCCTTGACAAAGCCCCTGCCTGATGCACACACTGGGGACTCCAGTGTGAGGAGTGGGAGACTGCTTTGCCCACTACCCCGGAGAGACTCCCAAAGTCAAATCCCACCAGCTTCTTGTTGATGGCACTGCCCAGCTGGGTGGCAGGGATGTTGATTTAAAAGCCAGTGGGGCTGGGAATGGGGCTTAGGGAGGCTTTTCCTGAGCCTGGCTCCTGGCCCGGCTGGCTTTTAAACTGCTGCTTCCAACAACCAGCTAGGTGGTGTAGGCAGCAGGGAGAAGCCAGCAGTGCTGCCAAAGAAGAGGAAGAAGGAGCTAGCAGGAAAATTAATAGGATGGCTGGAAAATATTTCAGTGCCAAAGTCTCTGCCACAGCCAGCCCTTTCTGTGCCGGTATTTGGACAAGCTCTGTCCAGGCATGGCTCCCCACCAAGGCTTCTATCCAGGTTCTGGCCTGGCTTTACCCTGACTGCGGTCTTCATACTCTTGTCAGGGACAGCCAGTTAGAGGAGTGCTTGCAGTGTGAGAGGAACCTCCTGGTGGATTATCTGAGGAGTCAGGTAAGAGAGCTGCAGCAGGAGTTGGATAGGGTCTGAAACATCTGCAAGCATGAGGCCTTCATCAACTTGATGCATAAGGAGACCTCCAGCAGCATGGAAAAGGAATAGCCAGAGAAAGCACTGGAAAACGCACCTTCTCTGGAAGGACAACACTCCTTTTCTGGACCTGCAGGTGTCCAGCTGGACAACTGGTGTGAAGCCCTTGCATTGGATGAGGAGCTCAGTCCAGTGGCAAAACAGGCCAAGTCATGCACCCCTAAGGGAGGGAGGATTGAGACCACTGCAACCAAAAGCAGCGGCAGGTGGTGGTGGTTGGTGACTCCCACCTGTGGGGCATGGAGGCATCCACCTGCTGGCTTGACCTGTTGGCTTGAGAGGTCTGCTCCATGCCTGTGAAATGTTACAAGAGAGGTTGCTCAGACTCATCCAGCCCTCTGACTACTAGTCCATGACACTGCCAGGGTGACCATGAACAGACCAAAAGTGACTACATGGCTCTGGGTGCAAGGGTGAAGGGGACGGTGGCCCAGGTGGTGTTCTGTCAATCTAGATAAAGGCCTAGCAACAGATGGTCACATCCCAGAGATCAACACTTGTCTGCACGGATGATGTTGCCAGCAGGGCTTTGGCTTCTTTGACCACAGGATGGTGTTCCAGGAAAATAGAGGCATCCAGGAAGATGCAGTCTATCTGATGAAGAGAGGGAAGAGTGTCTTCATATACAAGCTTGCTAATCTAGTAAGGAGTAGGGATGTAAATATCATTTTAAAAATATTCGTTTAACCTCCTCTAATTATATATTGGTTAAACGATTAACTGATAATAACACAGCAGTTCAGATACACCTGCTGCTGGGAACCACTCCCACTCCCAGAGCCCTTTGACTGGGGGACAAGGGATGGGGTGGGGGAGAGAAAGCAAGCCCAGCCAGACAACACAGCCCACATGAAGTCCTGCAAGGAGAGAACACCTGTGAACAAGCAGCTAATTGCTTAATTGATGAAACATTAGGCTGTTGGCTGTTTCCCTCTTATGCTATGGATAGTAGTCACTCTCCCCTCTTCTCCCTGCTCCTGCCTGCCCTGCTGGGGCACTGAACACATCCCAAGCTAAAGGATAACTGGTAAGCTAACTAGATATCATTGCACTTAATGGTTAAACAATTAATCATTGACCTTTTCATATCTCTAGTGAGAAGGGTTTTAAACTAGATTCACCAGAGGATGGAGACAAAAGCTCAGAGGTAAGTAAAGAGCCCAGAGACTTAAACAAAAACTTAGTAAAGGGAAATAATCATGGAAACCTGAGCAAAGTTCTCAGAGAGAGGATAGGACAGTCAGTCAGATACTTTAAATGTTTATACACTAATGTGAGAAGTATGGGGAACAAACTGGAAGACCTGGCAGCCCTAGTACAATCACAGAATTATGATGTACTTGGGATTACAGACACATGGTGGGACAGTTCACGTGTCATGGTGGGACAGCTCACGTGACTGGAGTAGATGGACATAGCTTGTTCAGGAAAGAGGTAGGGCAAAAAAAAAAGAAAAAGGTGTTAACTTATACATAAATGTGATGCACATGTGTCCAGTGGTGCAGTATGAAGCACAGGCCTGTTGAAAGCCTCTGACTAAAAGTCAGAGGGGGGGTGTCATGATTGGTGTCTGCTACAGGCCTCTATCCATGAGGAAGAGATGGATGAGGCCCCCTGAATGAGGGCCAGAAGCTTTCCAATTGTAGGACTTGATTCTCATGTAATAGTTTAATATCCATTAACATTTACATCTTGTTTTTCTTGCTGATAATGCCAGCAGTTAATGCAAATTGTTATGGTACTTGTTATGATGTTCATACTTGTCTATTATTAAATAAACTAACATTTATTATACTAATTTCAGACATACCAAATTGACATCAAATAACAACTTTTCATCAGGGCCTCACATTGAACGTCTCTTTATACCAATTCTCTGAACCATCCAACAAGCTTACATCTTTATATTTTAATACACGTATATACAATTTATGAAAAACATGTAATAAATGGCTCTATCCTCTCAAGTAATATCAAAGAATGTTCATTGAACAAAAATTATAACTTTAAACTTTACAATACACCAAGATCATATATATATAATAGTCTTAAACATAAATATATGTATGCCTAAGAAATTACTTCTAAATGTATGCCACCTGTAGAATTACAGAATTAAAAAAAGTACCTGGCACATCGGTGAAAGTCTCTCCCAGGACAGATACGTGAAAATGTAGTTCCTTCTCTTTAAGTTTCAGTAATACTTTAAAGAAATTTTCAGGGTCTTTATCATGTTCCCTTGAAACAAGCAGAATGAATCTTGATTTAGGGTATGTTTATTTGTGGTAAACTTCTTACTTATCACAGTAGTATTTATTTTTAATTCTAGTGTTGGGGTCCCTAGAAATGTTTTCCCTTTGCTTTCTACCCTAATCAGGATAGCTTATGTCACATGGAAGCTTAGTTTCCTCAGCCTACCACATGAGATGAGAACTCAGCCTTGTTTCCTTGGCCCATTTTTCTGAAACCATGTGTTCACACTTCACATGATCAAGTTAGCTAACATCCTGAGCTAACATATGATTCTACCTAGCTAAAAGTATACAGGGCAGACCATGGAGAGGCGGGAAACTTGAGAGAATCTTTCCTTCTGTGCTGACCCCAGTGATAAAGGAGTTGATCTTCAAAATGCTTTATCCCTCTTTGAAGAAACACAATATTAAGCAACTACATTTGCTAAGAAAACAAAAGTTCCAAAACAGTATTTTATGAATAGATATTTGAGTTTTAAAAAGTTTCCAAGTCATTTAGTGCACTGAACAAAAAAGAAACGACACAACTGAGAGAGAAGCCTACAGGTGCAGAAAGACCTCTAAGTAGCTAGCTGGGGAGTTATTTAGTAAAGGATACGATAG